ATATCTGGAACAAAACGTATGATTGGGAGACCATTCGACGATCCACAAACACAGAAAGAAATGAAGATGGTGCCTTACAAGATTGTGCGTGCACCTAATGGCGATGCTTGGGTTGAAGCCAATGGTCAGCAGTATTCTCCTAGTCAGATTGGAGCGTTTGTTTTGACAAAGATGAAAGAGACAGCCGAAGCTTACCTTGGAAGATCAGTCAAGAAAGCCGTTGTCACTGTTCCAGCTTACTTTAATGATGCTCAGAGACAAGCAACAAAAGATGCCGGGAGAATTGCTGGTCTTGATGTCGAGAGAATCATAAATGAACCGACGGCTGCTGCTCTGTCCTATGGAATGACCAACAAGGAGGGTTTGATTGCTGTGTTTGATCTTGGTGGTGGGACTTTTGATGTATCTGTTTTGGAGATTTCCAATGGGGTTTTCGAGGTATATATCTCCCAAGTAGTTTTATGTATTTCAGACCTTCTGTTACTTTTCTCTAAAGGATCTTTCTTATTATGAATATTCTTTTCTTTTTTCAGGTGAAAGCCACCAATGGTGATACCTTCTTGGGAGGAGAGGATTTCGATAATACTCTGCTAGATTTCTTGGTAAATGAATTCAAGACCACTGAGGGAATAGATCTCGCCAAAGACAGACTTGCTCTGCAGAGGCTTCGTGAAGCTGCAGAGAAAGCAAAGATTGAACTATCATCTACTTCTCAAACTGAAATTAATCTCCCATTTATCACAGCTGACGCATCTGGAGCAAAGCATTTCAACATCACCCTAACAAGGTCAAAGTTCGAGACACTGGTGAATCACTTGATTGAGAAGACCCGTGATCCTTGCAAGAATTGTCTCAAGGATGCTGGTATAAGTGCCAAGGAAGTTGATGAGGTTCTTCTAGTTGGAGGAATGACTCGTGTCCCCAAGGTACAATCTGTTGTCGCAGAGATCTTTGGCAAGAGTCCAAGCAAAGGTGTTAATCCTGATGAGGCTGTTGCTATGGGAGCTGCACTTCAAGGTGGTATCCTTCGTGGTGATGTCAAAGAATTGTTGCTTCTGGATGTCACACCTCTATCTCTCGGTATTGAAACACTTGGTGGTGTCTTTACAAGACTGATCAGCCGAAACACAACTATCCCCACAAAGAAGAGTCAGGTATGTCCTTCAAGGTTTGATCTTTTGATGGAAAATTACTAACTAGGGGATCCCTGACGATTACATTGGAGTAAGGCATAACTAGGGTAGTATGAGGCACCTATGAGAGTTTGATATGTAGTGCTTAGCAAGGCATGCTCGAGTTACTTGTCTTGGCTTTGATTCTTAAATAATTCCACTGTCTTAATTTAATGGTCATCATAGCACATTTGTGTGATATACTAAGTGATAAGCTATTCGAAGCAACCATTGTTTTGGTTAAGTTTCTGCTAAAATGTTGATTTTCTTGTTTTATTCTTTTGTAGGTGTTCTCAACTGCAGCCGATAATCAGACTCAAGTTGGGATCAGGGTGCTTCAAGGTGAGCGTGAAATGGCATCAGACAACAAGCTCTTGGGAGAATTTGATCTAGTAGGCATTCCACCATCTGCAAGAGGAATCCCTCAGATCGAAGTGACATTTGACATTGATGCCAATGGCATTGTCACTGTTTCCGCTAAGGACAAGATGACTGGTAAAGAACAACAGATCACAATCCGGTCCTCTGGTGGGCTCTCAGAGGAGGATATCCAGAAGATGGTGAGAGAAGGAGAGTTGCATGCTCAGAAGGACAAAGAGAGGAAAGAGTTGATTGACACCAAGAACACAGCTGACACAACAATTTACAGCATAGAGAAGAGTCTTGGTGAATACAGAGAGAAGATCCCAAGTGAAGTCGCTAAGGAGATCGAAGATGCTGTGGCGGATCTAAGGAATGCTTCATCTGGGGATGATGTTAATGAGATCAAGGCCAAGATGGACGCGGCAAACAAAGCTCTTTCGAAGATTGGAGAGCACATGTCTGGTGGTTCTGGTGGGGGCTCTGCACCAGGAGGAGGATCGTCCCAGGGAGGCAGTGATCAAGCTCCAGAGGCAGAATACGAGGAAGTGAAAAAGTGAATGAAGTAACTAGATTTCGTAAATTCTTGCCTCTTGGATTTGAAGTGATTAGGTTAGATGATGGTGAGTTCTATGTCCCAAGAAACTTTTGCCTTTAGAACAGCGAGCAATAGATCTCTTTCTGGAATAAGCTTTTTGTCAGGGAACGAAACTTCATGTTTCTCTGGTAAAAAGAAAAGATCTTTGTTATGTAATGTGATGGTGAAGGACAAGTTTTTAAGAGTTTGTCACTTTATTAACCAAAGAACGGGTACCTATGACTTATGTTAATCCAGTGCGGTGATTTCAAAATTTATGCTACTTATTAGCACCAATGAATGTAAAGTTCGAACTTTCAAGTTTCACTCTATTCAACCGGTTGGTCTAATCCGGTTAATAGTGAAAACGCTGTAAAAGCCTCAACGCGCTTATTAGCTAAACATTAGCCACGTTCTGACCACTGCGTTTGCTATATTGTCTTCACTTCAATTCTTTTGATTTTTGGTTTTACTCTCGACTTCTTTCTTTGAATTATGTGTTTTAATGTTCAAGTCACACTAAGGAAGCAGAGAAAATGAGAAACTACCTTAGCTTCCTCGTCTTAGTTCTATTGACCATCTTCTCCATTGTTGATGCGTCTTTGCTTGTGAAGTATCTTCCTGGTTTTGAAGGTCCTCTTCCTTTTGAGCTCGAGACTGGGTAAAAAATTAACAAACTCCATCTCTTTCTTTTTATATGTCAAGATCAGAAGCAAAAACCACACAGAACAGTTAAGAATCCTTATATAAGAGTTCCTCTTCACAAATCTTAAATTAAGATTTGTGTTAAATTCCATGCATTGAGGATGTCCTAACATGTCTCCTTCTTCTTTTGCATGTGGGTTTTTTTTTTACAAAGATACGTAAGTATTGTTGACTTCCGGAGAATATGTAATTTACGAGATTACCCTCTAATCTATATATATAATAGAAGAGTTCTCTCTCCATCTAGACTATTCACATCAGCATCTACCTCAGCAAATTTTTTTAAAAAATTAAGTATATTTAAAAAAATTATTTAGTACATATTTATGTACTTATAATTAATAATGCATTTAATTAAATAAAAACGAATTAAGTTTAATAAATTAAATTTAAAAATGCCAAAAAAATATTGTTAAAATGTTATAGTAATATAATTTGTAGCAGAATTTTTTTTCAAAAATGATCTTACTTCCAATAATTTAACGTGTTAATGAGATTTATAATGGAAGAAAAAAATTGTATGGTAGAGTAAAAAAAAATATCTGCCATATATAAAACTTATAAACCAGAAAAAATTAAAGTGAAATATCAGTTCTAAAGAATAGTAAACTACGAAGAGATTTTATTTATCACTAAATTTTCAGTTAAATATTAGAAAACGATTACCAAACTCAATTTTAAAAAAGTAAAAATAAAAAAATGTATTATAATTGTTGCACTTTTATATGAAATCAGAAAAACTTGAATATAAAACAAATATATATATATATAT